CGTAGCATGTACCAGATAGTGCTCTTTTTCCTCAGTAACTCTGCAGTGAAAGTGAAGACAAAAAGAGTAAACACTTCTGAAATTATATAAACTTATAATTATATACACCTATATAGTTCATAAACTATATAAACCTATAGCCCTTCTAACAGGGCTACCAAGCTTAATAACAAGTCAATCTTGAGTACACACTACAAATGTTTCCAGAACTTTGGGATGTGGTTTTATCTGCCCTAAAGACTCCAGATTCCTCTCTTTTATCCAGCTAGAGTGACGCTACCAGCTCCATCAAAAAATACTAATCATTTCCTTTCTAAGACAGTTGGAAATTATTTCTCCAAGACATGAAACTTTAGCTGCTTGAGTTGAAGATTTCTCACACTCAGATTCTGCCTCAAGCAGATGGGTTTTGGACGTTTCCGCCAAAACCGTCTACAGTTTTCTAACAAAATAAAGCTGGGAAAAGACTGTGTTAAGAGACTCAAACTGTTTTATGAATAGGCTTGGTACTCCCAGTCTTTGAAGCAAGCCTCCACAAATAATGCTTTTCTATCTTTCAGGAAATCCAGCCAAGCTCTAAGTATGTTAAAAGTTTTGGAATACAGAGGCCTGAAGTCCGGAAGCTTCAATTAACAACATTCTACCCCCTATTCACATGCTGGGGCCAAGAGAGCTGAAGATGAATGGAACTTAGTATAGGAGAAAGGAGAGGAGTATACTCCTTAGTATGGGAGTATAGGAGAAAGACCGTAGGGAAAGTAAAACATGCCCTATAGTCGGATTTATAGCCATGTGTGCAACTGAAGCTGCTTTATCACAAGGATGCTCTCAAGTAAAACTTAAGTCCCTCCATTTTTCCTACCTTCAAACTTTTTATTTACATCTACAGAAATAAAACCTAAACACTTGGATATTACAGCGTGGGCCTGACAACCTCTTCAGAGTCAACTTGCGAAAGTAGAAAGTTATGTAAGAGCTCAGGTTCACTTCTTCTAATGGAATAAATGAGATTTGCTGCCTTGCTTTATTTTTTTCTGACACTAAGCAACTAAACTTCAATATTACCTCTTCCACCTGCTGACCTCAATCTTCCATGAAACAGATTTGAAATGTCTTTTTTCCTCTCCACAAAAAAAAAAAAAAAAAAAACTTTAAAACAACTTAAAAATATTTTCACTGCCTCATAATCACACTTAGAAGAAATGTTTGAGCCACAGTACTCTTCTCCATTCCTCTGGTAAGTGCTATGAAAAGCAAATTGAGATGATGATTTCTTTAACAAAAAATTAGTCATGTAAATTCTCACCAGATTGAAACTCCAAGGACATGGGAAAGGATGCAGGAAGAAGTCAAAAGAAGACTAAGAATTTTTTGTTTTGTTTGTTTCTTGTCTTTTTTTTTTTTAATGTTGCATAAACAATGCACACTGCTTTAAGGGCTTTCACACCTACCACTTAAAAGCACAGGCTACTTAAGTACAATAGCATGCAGATTTAGTTCTATGCAGGATAAGTTAACATTAGTATGCATGTGGTCTTATGGATAACTTTAATTTCCCTGGCAACTTTTTAAACTGAAACCATAGTATATTTTTACTGCTTATACTTTCTAGCAGTGGAATTTACGGACCTTAGAAAGTCTGCTCTGTTAAATCAAGATGCCTAGGATTCATCTACCCATAAGATCTCTTCCACTTTCTAAGATACCCTTCACTCCAACTAATGAATACTGAGAATTCAACTAGTCTCATTAACAAGTGCTACAAGTTTTCCAGTTAGGAGAATTCTGATCAAAGTCAGCCTGGCTTGTTTTACTTTTGTCTTTCCCCAATACACTAACTTATCAGTTTACTAAGTCAACACATAATGATGTACCTAAAACATTTCCAGCTAATGCTTTAGAGGGCGGCAAACATACGACATTATTTACTCCAGCATAGAGAAATATTTGTGTTCCTCTGAGAAACTCCCTCTAGCTGATCATCTTTTTTTCTCATGCAATAAAGAAAGCAAGGCACATTTCACTACACATTTCTGTGCTCTCTATTGTTCTCTGGCTAAAGGTAGGCTAACTTAGTACGTCATAGTAAAGAATCATGCACACACTGCTATAGCCAAGCCTCAGAAAAAAATCACAGAATCTATAGCAAAAAATCTACAGAATCTATAGCAATCTATACAGGATGATTTGACTTGTCCAGCTGATACACAGCTACTTAGTTCTGCAGAGAAACTGAGCCTCAGGGAACCCAGGGTGCTCTTGTGGTCCAAATGGCACAGGTTACAGAGGGAGCATCATGCTCACTCTTCAGTGCCACTTCTGCACCGTAAGGCCCCCCAGCAGCGCAAGTCACAGCCTGGAAGGAACCTGCTCCTTCACGCAGCAGCCTCGTGTAGTGGCTAGAAAAGACTAGCAATACAGAGCACTACACTGACCTCAGCACCAGGCTCAGTAGCTGCAGGCTGTTTTAACTTTAAACAGGAGCATGAATTAATGCATACTTCAAGTTCTGCATCCAAGTTTGAAACTCAAAGAGCAGCAAACAACTGAATACCCGGTGAACTACATCAACCGGTTGCACACCCTCTTGGCCCAACTCAAACGCAATGGTGCTCAGCCTGAAATCTTAGCTTAAGCTGTTCACACATTTATCACAGACCACAAACTGTGGCTTTTTTACCCCATACCCTCACACACCTCCCTTTTTTGATAAGAAAAGCACTTAGCTAGTCAGCCTGTCTGCCTGTACCATCACCTGCTAAGTCAAAGCATCTTTACAAATGCTCAGACAGCAGGAGTACAAGTGGTACTCACTAGTACAATCACAGTTGTACTAGCAAATCACACAGGCTTAATCACATTGACTGGTAAACTGATAGACCAGTGAAAGAACATACAGACTAGTTGGAGTTTTCCTCACTAAATGGAGGGGTCTTCCCATTTTCCCCCCAGGGGCTTTAAGAATAATATGCAGTGCTTTGTTCACCTCACAATTATTGAGGAGTCTTCTTTATTCATTTGATTTTAATCACATCCCTGGGAGCGCTGCAGCTGTTTACGTTCCCCTGTGCTAACTCTCTCCACGTCCAGCTCAGATCCTTCCAATCGTTTTTTGTACTCAACAGCACCACGGCATCACAACAAACGATCCACACATCACCAAGAAAGCTTCAGAAACAGTTACAAAAGAACACAGATGTAAGCAGTTCAATTAAAAAAAAAGATCACCCTGGCTTTACAGAACACCATCCCATCTGCATTCTGAACTACACAGACTAAGCAGGCAGTGACCGAGTGTTGCTCACACAGACGGCGGCCCCTGGAGTATCTCAGTGCTCTGTCCTCGCACAACGCTGCTGGCTGAAGCGCGCCCCGGAGGCGCCC